GTTGCCCCCATCTCGCCTTACCCACCTTCCGCACTGTCCTGTGCACGGCGGCGATTTAAAGCTCACTGTGCTCGGATCATAAGCTGAGTTCGTGATCGGTGCTGCCCGAAATCAAGGCGAGGTAATCCCAGCAATTAACGTGTGAATGTGAAAAACAAGACAAGACCAAAAGAAAACTCTGATAATTCATTTTCTCTGCACTAAAGGAAGGAAATTGAAAGCACCCTTCTCTGTGGGCAATGTTTCCAGTGGTTTCTGGAAAACAGAAATAATCTCAGGATTATTCTTTGAGGGGTGTGTTGAAGAAGGTATTAGTTGCTCCTTTGAGAATGGACTCCCCGTTTACGTAAAACTAGGCATGCTGTTAACCCCATCTTGTGAATGCTCTGGGTCTTGGAGGAAGCTGTTGAACCTCATCTGAGACTGACGCTGTAAACACATGTGGTGGGATGTGAAGCCCCAGATCCAGGACAGAAGGGTGGCTTTAAGGTCACGAGATGATCATGCTATGATCCTGCTGAGGACTTGGAACTCCCAGCACCTGCACTGCACATCATTGTCATTGTTATTGGGACAATCATGTGCATTAGTCAGTCCTTGCAACATCTTCCTGAGGGAGGACACCTGAAACCAAGGGATGAGGAAACCCCGTGTGTACAGGGAGGTTAAGTGGCTATTCCAGGGAAGGAGTGGCCTGGCGGGACATTAAAGCTGGGGTCGTCTCCAATCTTGGACTTCATGCAGTTGTGCCATTTTATCCAACCAGGGAAAACAGAATCGCAGAGCTGGGGACAGACCCCATTTACAAACAAGGGTAGGGTTGCCCACAGACATTGCGTGAATTGCCAGTGTCACGCAGTGGTTAATGGCAGAGCTGTGAGTGGAACTCAGGCCAGCAATCTAAGTCTCGTGTCCTTCCCAGTGCTCCAAGCAAACCTGCAGGACTGGGTCGTCACTGTGAGAGAGAATCCAGGCTTTCCATTTCAGTCAACATTTTTCTAACCTTCAAAGTCAGAACCATTGGTTGACATGGCCTCTCACAGACTGAGCAACGCATTGAGCAGCATGTCCGACTTTGCTTCTGATGCCATTCTTCCTATAAACCTGGTTTCCTCTGACTAGTTTGTTTCCAGAAATGAAAGAAGAGTCAGACACAAATGACTCCTGGACATAAGATTAAGGAAACCATAAGGACCTACAGAGGGGCTGGCCGGTTAGTCAGATGGGTAGAGCTCAGTCTTTTAACACCAAGATCAGCCTTACCGGCCCGCTGCCAAAAAAAAAAAAAAAAGGAACCTACACTGCTGTCTTCCTCAAAATCTTTCTACTCAAGATCTAAAATCTTTCTGGTCTTCTACATCTTAAGGTTTTTTTGTTTTTGTTTGGTTTTTTTTAATCCCTGGCCAGTACCGGGATTGAACCCTGGACCCTGGTGTTACCAGCACCCCGAGCTAACTGGCCAGCTCTTAAGTTTCTTGTTAAATATCTACATTTATAATGGATGATGTCTACTGCTGCAGGGGTCGCTTGACTTTTTTTAAATACCTATTTTTAGGGCCAGCCCGTGGCTCGCTCACTCGGGAGAGTGTGGTGCTGAGAACACCAAGGCCCCAGGTTCAGATCCTATATAGG